CTGCGGCCCCAGGCAGCGCCCTCGTCCCGGGGCACCTGGGGGCCTCGCTCCCCTGGCCTCCAGCTGCCCTCGGGAGGAACCAGCAGCAGCAGGACGGGCAGCCTGTGGCCTCCCGCCCCCGGCAAAGGAAGCGGCGGAGGAAACGAGGGCGGAGGACGCCGGGCTGGAGCCAGCTCCCAGGCGGCCTGGCCCGACCGTTGCGGTAGGCAGTGTCCACGCTGAGCCCTGCCTTCCTCTACCAGGGTGGGCGGGGGGCAGGGGCCGGGGTGCCCCAGGGTCAGGGAAGTTCTTCTGCTCAGGACGACTCTGGGGTTAGAGCGGCAGTCGCAGCCACGCGGGAGCAGCACCCAGAGCTGGGTAGGTGGGGGCTTCGGGGAGGACGCGGGCTCTCCCAGTCCAGCCTGGGGGCCGGGGGTGGGAGGATGGGGGCCAGTCCTCGCAGGGCCCCGGCCCCTGCTCTGGGTCTACCGGAGGAAGTGGCATGACAGGAGTGGGCAGGGCCAGTGCAGTGGAAGTTCTGGGCCACCTGAGGGTCACCTGTCACAGGTGAGGTGAGGTAGCAGGATGCTGGCCAGGAGGGTGGGGCGGGGCCCCTCAGGTCACCTCTCAGGGTGGGATGTGGCTGGGCCTGGCCTTGCTCAACCCTGGTGAGGGTGTGCTGGTGTTGTCTTGTCCTGCCAAGGAAGGGCTGGGTGCACGGCACCAGGCAGCCCTCGCCAGCTGGCCTCGGGGTGTCCAGGGACACAGCCTGCCTGTTGACGTGAGCCAGGTCAGCAGCAGGGGGGCCTGAGTCCCAGCCCCCAACTCTGCTGTCACCCCTGCGCTGAGGCCAGCCTGGGCGGTGGGTGGGAGGTGGTGCTAAGGACGCTGGCTGGTGTCATGAGGAGCCCTCACTGGGATGGGGGTGGTCTACTCTCTGGTCCCGCTGTCTTCAAATGCTTAATGACGTTGGACAGGGGCCTCCTGGTCCCACTTCGCCCTGAGCCCCGCACGTTCTGCAGCTGGTCCTACTCGGGGCTGCCTGTCCAGCCTCCGGCCCCGCTGGGAGGCGTCACTTGTAGAGGGATGCTGTGACTGTGTGACGGGCTGGCTCCCGGGTAGGTGGTCCTCTCCACCTGCTGTGGGGCCCACCCAGGTGTCCTCACGCCCCTCGGAAGGAGGAACCCCCGGTTTCCGGGACGCACCACCGCCCACCCCTAGGACGTATGTGGGAACACCTGACTGGTCCCACTGGGCCTCAGGCCTGAGGTCGCTCCCTGAGGACCGCGTGCCACCCTGTGGCCTGGCCCGGCGGCTCCTCGGCACCACCGTGGACGGGCACGGCCTCCTGCCGGCGCTGGGCACTCTGCCGCGGCCTCTCCCTCCGTCCCTGACAGCTTTGTTGAGTTGAAATTCACGTACTGTACAACTCGCCCGTCCACCTGGTGATGTTCGCTGTATATACGGAAGCGTGCAGCCACCCCCACCGGCAGCTCTGGAGGACTTTGGCCAGCCCCCCAGCCCCACCGGCAGCTCCTCAGCTACTTCCTGTCTCCAGCCGCGTCTGTGTGGACGTTGCCCCCGAGTCACTGGACGGGCTGTGGGCAGCGGGCCCGGGTCTCAGGGCAGCTTTCGTGGAGGCCGCGGGCTGGGCTGCCCCACAAGCCCCCGCCCAGCTCTGGGTGTCGCGGCCGTGTCCCTGCGGCTGTTCTGGGAGCTCCGCGGGCAGCCGGACTCGCCCTCCCGGGGCTTGTTGGCTCTTTGGAGTCATCTTCTGGGGTGGCCCCGTGAGCCAGGCCTGCCCAGCTGTGGGTGCTACTTACACATCCGGGGACCGAGCCTCGGTCGGGGGCGCGCGTCGGGCCGGGTGTGCCCGTCTCAGCCGGCTCGCCGGACCGGGGCCCGGGGCGCGGGGCTCGCGGGTGCCGCGGGCGCGCGTCTTTCCCGGTCCGTGCTCGGTGGTGTCGGGCTGGTGGCGGAGACGGGCTTCTGTGACAGGATTTGCACCACAGGAGCCGGCAGAGGCTACGCGTAGAAACCGCTCCTTCCTTCTCTTTGGTCCGGAGAGGTGATGTTAACGTTTACCAGCGCACGTGGGTGAAGGCCGTCCTGTTAATCCCAGGAAGCTGCCTGGAGCCCTGCTGGTGTGAGGCAGGCACCCCCGGACGCACGTTCTGGCCCCTGGGGATGAGTGACTCAAAGGAGTGGTCCCGCTGCCTCTGGGGGCCACTCAGCCCTGGGGGCGGCTTCTGGGTGGGGCCTGCTCAGGGCGGCGGGGGCAGGGTCGGGGCTCCTTCTGCCCGGCCCCCCGCAGTCCTGTGCACGCCTGAAGCTGTCCCTGCGGCCCAGCTCCCCCGGCCCGCCTCACCGCCATCTCTGCCCCCAGCGGGGTCCAGGCAGAGCGCTGGAGGCCAGGACGGCGGGAGGCCCTGGGCTCGGGCTGCCGGCCTGTCCCCTAGCAGCTGGTGCTGGAGCGCGGCCAGCGCGCCGGACTCTGTTCTGTTCTTCCTCCTTCGACGGGCGGCCCCGCCAGTCCTGTCTGAGCTGACTGCGGCGCGGTGCCTTCCTGCGGGGCTCCCTGGGTCTGGCTGGCCACCTGTAGGTTTCCTCCTGGGTGAGTCCGAGCCTGGCCGCCTCCAGCCTCTGCCCAGCTGCTCCCCTGCCGCACCCCCACCCCCCTATGCTTGGGAGAGGGACTCATTCAGGATCCTCGGGACAGCCCCGTGCTCCGCAGGTGTCAGGGCAGGGTCCCCAGGTGAACAAGATGGGCAGGCCCTGGCCTCCTGAGGGGCCACCCCTCAGGCCCTTGGGGAGGTTGGGAGCCGAAGGATGTGCACATGGTGGAGGGACCAGCAAATGGAGGGTGGGGGCCACATGGGAGGATGTTTGTGCTGGGGGACATCTCGGTGGGAACAGCCCCAGGAACAGAGAGGCGGGGCCCTGGTGCCCGTGTGCCCAGTTCTCACCCAGACCCCGCTGAGCTGCCCCTGCTGTGGGCTTCTTGGTCATTTGGGGGGGCGGGTCGAGGGCATCCTGGGTGCCCACCTTGCCCGAGGACTGGCCTTGGGGTGGGTCCCAGGGCGTCTGGGAAAGAGTGGAGCGGCCTCTGGTGGTGGTGGTGATCAGCTGGGCCAGCTGTGTCACAGGCTGGCAGAAGGGATGTCACTCACGGTGCTGAGGTTCCAGTGTGTTCGTATCCATTGCTGGTCCCAGAAGTGTCCGCCCCCCGAACTGTGAGCACGTGCTTCAGGAAGCACGTGTGAGGACACGTCTCCTGGTGTAAGAGGTGTGTGCCTGTGAGTGGGTGCGACGTGTGTGTGATTGCTGGGAGCCTGTGGGTGCGTGTGTCAGTGTGTGAGTGTGAGCTTGGGCGTGGGGGTCCGAGCACAGGTGAGGACGGAGGAGGCAGTGTGCGCCCACGCAGAAACGTGACAGCATCTGTGTGCACGTGTGCGAGGACGTGGGGACGTGTGTATGTGTTCCCTCCCCCGTTCCCCGGCCCCGTGGGCCCCCATCTAGGACTCTGGGTGACGTCATGGCTCCTGACCCCTGTGGGCGGCTGGTCGGCTGACACCAGCCACGTTGACTGTCCAGCCACCCTCTGAGGCTCTGTGGTCCGGGGTCTGGGAAAGAACCCTCCCGTGTTGGCAGCTGCCATGACCCTCGTGACCCAGGGGACCTGAGGGGTGGTGCCTCCCAGAGGCTTGTTCGCGTGTGAATTGGGCTTCGACACTGAAGTGCAGCCGTCGGACCCCTCGGGGAGGCGGGCGTGCTGGGGCCTAGGGGCCAGTGCGTCTGAGCAGTCAGGTCTCTGGTTTCTGTGTCCATCTGAGCTCAGGGATCTGGGGGGAGGAGGACACGGGTGGGCCTGGGTCCTGCCTGGGAGGCGCCACATGTGTGCCGTAACCTGCGTCCCTCCCCCCACCGGGCAGAGGGTGGCTGCATCCCTGCTGGCGGGTTCTGCTCCTCACATGTGGGTCCTGGGCCCTCGGGCAGACCTCCACCAAGAAGTGCCCAGGCCCCCCAGCGCTGGCTCTGCCTCCTGGCTGGCAGGTGGGATCGTGGTCGCCCCGGAGCTGTGCTTGCCTCCTGCCCTGGAAGCCCCAGAATCCTGCTCCTCACTCCAGCTGGAGGCCAGGGGGTATGAGGGGCAAATGCTGGGCCGCTTGGGCTGCGCCGGACCTTGGCCCTGGTGGCCTGGGCGCTTGGACCTCCGCCTTTCACGCTGGCCACTGGCCTCGGCCTTGTAACCCAGAGAGCACCCGCCCGGGTTGCACAACTCCTTCCTGCCCGAGATCCTGTTGCATCACTGGGCGGGCTTTAGGGGTGGGGGCGCTGGTGCCGGGATGTCCTCAGATGCCCGGTCAAGGCCCCGCCCAGACCTGCTGGTGACCCCAAGTGTGATGAGCCTCATAGGCTGCAGACCCCTGAGGAGGTCAGGCAGGGCCTGGCCATGGCGTGGGGTGGGGGTCAGTGGCCTGGGTGGGGCTGGACGTGGGGAAGGGGCAAGAGGAATCCGGGAGCAGCTGGGGGTCTCCCTCTGGGGGAGGGGTGGGAGGGGCCCAGGGAGCAGGTTTGTCTGGAGGGGGTCACAGACTCCACGCCGGGTTTGGGTTGAGATGCTCAAGTTCACCCAGGGGAAGGGCCAGGGCTGGGTGGCCACTGGGGGTCTGGGGGCTCCATAGGAAGTGCTGGGGACCAGGGTGTGGCTAGGGCCCTGATGGGGT